TTGTCCCCCCATGGAAATCCATAGGTCTGGGTTTGCTGTGAAAAACCAACCAAGAAACGAGGGCCAAGTCGTTTTTTTCCCATGGAAATCCATAGGTCTGGGTTTGCTGTGAAAAACCAACCAAGAAACGAGGGCCAAGTCGTTTTTTTCCCATGGAAATCCATAGGTCTGGGTGTTTGCGCCCGCCAGGCCGAGGGCGCGGTGCCCTCCTGGAACAAGGCCAACGACGCGCGCGAGATCCGCGCGGGGGACCGGGTGCTGTCCATCAACGGCACCTCGGGCGATCCCAAGGCGGGGAGCGATCCAAGGGGGGGGAGCCACTGGAGCAGAAAAAACGACCTGAGATGCTTCCATTGGCTGAAATGAATATGTCTTTTAATTTTCTCTGGTTTTGAAGGGAATCTATCACTACTGGACATATGTTTTTAACTCATTCTTTCCAGTGGACTGAGGCAAATGGAAGGGTGAAGGGGCCCTTTGAACATCATTGCCGACTTCCAACTCTGGAAATTCACAGCCAAACGATCTTTGAGTTTTCCCATGCCGCACCTGCCATTGGACTTCTGACACTCGAGGCCGCGGAACTCTCTGTCCAGCTCAGCCAGTATACGCACGGCTTCATCCACAGTGAGTGGAAAACGGGTCCGTTTGCCCAAAACGGGTCCGTAAACTCATGAAGAAATCCACCTTGGTAGAACGTCGGAAAAACGGGTCCTTTGTTCCGTTTCGGGCCAACTGTCTAACCTGGGGATGACCAAACTTCTGGTTGGTTTCCTCCAGGTAACACATTTCTACTTTGCCAATGGGTCTATCGGGGGCGACCTTGAAGAAAGGTATGTGCTTTTGTCTTTCCATGCCAGGCTCAGTCCAAACAACTCAGTAGTCTATGGTTCCATTTGGCGGGGACATCGGGAGACGATCCGAAATTCCCACCAAGCCCAAGGGACAAACTCCAACTACGTGGACTGTTTCAAAGGGACACCACGAGGAGACCAACCACCTGAAGGGGTCCCCGTTCTTGAGAAACACCCATATGTTCACATGTTCACATGTTTTTGTTTGTTTGTTTGTTTGTTTGTTTGTTTGTTTGTTTGTTTAGAAGGGAAACCACAAGGAAACAGCGCAACTTGAGGTTCCGATTCCTTTGAGAACTAACCCTCAGTTGCTCAGTGGCACCCTTTTTTCTCTTTTGTTTGGTGGCTGCCCCACTAAAAATGGTCCTTTTCTTCAGGGTCACTGAACAGCTGAGAACCAGTTCTACCCTTGAGCACTCAAGGTATCCTTTTCCCCCTTACTGCAGGCGATGCTCGGCGTTTGTGCCTTGGCGGAGATAAGAAGGGGCAATTTGTGCTGCAGCTGAAGGCCATAGGGGCCTAGAATTTCTGGCTGGTTTTCGGGGGGACGGGCAAACCACAAAATAACGAGCACACAAGCGAACCGGAGGTTGTCATGCAGCCAGATAGGACCATGCCTCACACCCCCTGAGTTTCTGGACTTTTTGGGAAGGTCGTTTTCGCGGCAAACAACACTTTGGACTGTTTCTGTGAATCCACTCAGGAAGTGAGATATGGCCATGTTAATCGGAAGGACCTAATATAGACTACGCTGGACAAATCCCACACCACGGACCTATGAATATAGGGACAAGCTACTTTCTCGTATCAACTTGTACAGGAACTAGTTCATTCACAGTAGGTTGTTCGTATTTGTTCTTTTAGATATGCTTTTACTACCTTTGTCTTCTTCTTCGCTTTTCTTTTGATGGGGAGTCCCTTCAGGTTTCCTTTGATCCGAAGGACTGAATTGAGAGTTCAACCACTCGTTCCAGGTAACCCTTAGTTGATGGTTTGGATTGGTGGTTTGGGGGCTTGACCCCCCAGTTTATGTGGCGGATAAATGGGAAACCACTCCCGAACCCCCCAAACAACCAATCCAAACCACCAATCAGGGGGAAGCTGAACATTCATCCAAAGTTTGTTTGCTGAAGTAGAATCAATTGCCCGCTCAAAGGGGCGTATAGATCCTGCGTTTGGTTGTTTTAAGCAACACATGTTGCAAGGGGCAATTTAAGTAGAATACGGATAATGTGTTTTTGTTGCTTTGCACCGGCTTCTCGCGTAGCACCGGCTCAGGTGGCTGGTTGGTTGGTCTGTCGGTCGGTCGGTCGTTTGGCTGGTTGGTTGGTTGGTTGGTTGGTTGGCTGGCTGGCTGGCTGGCTGGCTGGTTGGTTGGCTAGTTCGTTGGTTGTTTGGCTGGTTGGTTGTTTGGCTGGTTGGTTGTTTGATTGGTTGGCTGGCTGGTTGTTTGATTGGCTGGCTGGCTGGCTGGCTGGCTGGCTGGTTGGTTGGTTGGTTGGTTGGTTGTTTTGCTAATTGTTTCCTTTTTTTTTGGAAGGGGGGGTTGGGTTGTTGGTTGGTTGGTTGGTTGGGTTGTTGGTTGGTTGGTTGGCAGGTCGGGTGGTTGGTTGGCTGGCCGGTTGGTTGATTGGCAGGTCGGGTGGACGGCTGGCTGGCTGGCTGGCTGGCTGGCTGGCTGGTTGGTTAGTTGCTAGCATAGACAGTCAGTCAGTCCGTCCGTCCGTCCGTCCGTCCGGCAGTCAGTCAGTCAGTGAGTCAGTGAGTCAGTGAGTCAGTCAGTCAGTCAGTCAGTCAGTCAGTCAGTCAGTCAGTCAGTCAGTCAGTCAGTCAGTCAGTCAGTCAGTCAGTCAGTCAGTCAGTCAGTCAGTCAGTCAGTCAGCTTCTGAGAGCACCTGGTTCGCAATCGCACACTTTTGCCAGGGCGTGGTGTGCTTATTTGTTTTTTGATTGGCGGGCTGCCCCCCCCCCAACCAACCCAGGTGTTTATAGGGCCGTTTGTTCAGCTTTGTGATTCTTGTTCGTAATCGCGCACTTTCTCCCTCAGTGTCTGGATTTGGTTCACTAATGAGGGGGGGCTGCGCCCCCCAAACCCGCTTCTTTACTCCAACCCCCACTTCTTTACAGGTCCGTTTGTTCGGCTGTGTGATCCTGTTTGTAATCACACACTTTCTCCATGTGTGTTTAAATGTGTTTCGCCCCAAACCAGCCCTAAACCCGAAGCCAGCTACTAAACCACCCTAAGCCAACCTTCGGCTCACACAAGCAAGCAACTGAACCGGCCTTGCGCTGATGGTCATAGGCGGTTCTCATCTCCTCGGCAAAAGTAAAACTTCGCAGTACCTCTCTGACATCAAATCCGAACGGATTTCCAAGCTTATGCGAGAGAACTGCAAGAAGCAAAACCAAAAATCAATTGGACCATCCAGAATTATCATGTGAAGCAAGCACAATACAGGAATGACGATGGCAACACGCACGTCGGATCAAGAAACAGCGTGCTGAGGGGCACTGCCAACTTGCCCTAAGAACCCACTGACATTTGTTTGTTGCCCACGGTTGTTTGTGTGCATCTTGTTTTGCGCGGCATGAAGGCTGTCTGTGACAGCAAAGAAACTCTCAAACCATCCACACGTTCCATCTTGCATCACATACTAATTTTCGGGCCCAGCTCCCGGAGCCGGTGCAAAGCAAAGGATCTTCAGCTTTAACATCTTGCCAGATGAGGATTGTTCAAAGTGTCCAGTAGTCTATGGTTCCAAGTAAATGTTGACCGCGGCTCAAATGATCTTCGTTCAACATCGCCGTGGGCGTGTCAAAGCTATTGCATGTTGAGGGGATCTCAAAATTACTACTTTTCACCATGTAGAGTGCAATCTCGCGGATTTCTTGTTGACAGATGAACAGCCACTCATGAATAAATGTTGGATAATAAGGCACAGTCTATTCATCCAAGACTTTTTGGCAGGCTATTCGAGACTTTTTGTTTTTGCAGCATTGTGCCAAACATCAGCTTCAGTGATGGAACAAAAATGCCATGCTATGCTCCAACAGCTCCACATAGCATCCAAATCCATCACTGCTAGAAACACAGTGTAGTTATTTCTTCCACTTCCCCCAATTGTTTTAGCATCCCCCTTGAGCCTGAATCAGAACGAACACAGCAGCTTAACATGTGGACTGTTTGTACTTTTGTGATATGAGCGCATCCCTGCATTTCTGGAAGATTATTTGAGGAACTTGAGGCCACTGAATGAAGTGTCCACTTGTGTGTTTGGACCTGATAATACCGGATTTCGGATGAGCGAGATGAGGTGGAAGTTGTGGGCACTGAATGAAGTGCCCAAGCGCTGGACAAAGCGCCACAGGAACTGACTCACCAGGGCACTGAATGAAGTGCCCAAGCGCTGAACAAAAGCGCATCAACCATTTCAGTCCGGGAGCTCAGCAGTCGGGAAGGACTGAAATTTTAAGACAGCTGGCATTTTACTATTTTAAGTTGCCTTGTTTGTCCACTCAATAGTTAAAATCGAGTTGAAATCCGCTGAGAATCATTCCACCCAGAAATGCTTTCGCCGGGCTCAGGGACACTGAGGCTCAGCTGCTAAGGTGGGCGAGGCGAGGATGGCGCTGAAAGAAGTGCCGGCGCTGAAAGAAGCGCACCCTACAACCACAAGCTCATCATCCAGGCTCGGATGGCACTGAAAGAAGTGCCAGCGCTGAAAGAAGCGCACCCTACAACCACAAGCCATCATCCAGGCTTGGACAGCCCTGTGCCAATCGCACTGAAAGAAGTGCTGGCGCTGAACAAAGCGCACCATCAAACTTCGACACGTTGCAAGCCTTCTGCAACTTGGTAAGGGACTGAGAGCAAACAGAATGCCAGCACTTTGCTTTTCCAATAATTCCACATTTTGAGGGGCCAAGGCAACAAGAAATTTGCGTGTTATATACATGTTTTGAGCGGCCAAGGCAGTTGAGTTGAGTTGAGTTGAGTGCATCCTCGCTGTGTGACTGTAACTGTAGCTGGCGCTTCATTCAGCACCCAAATGCTTCTTTCAGCTAAAAATCAGTGGTTCAACAAAAAAGCGCCCATGAACTACACACAACGAAACTCAATACCAAACGGAGCACAAGGGTAATAGAGCCGAGAAGGGTTTGTCGCAGCCACCTCCACCACCCTTGCCATCGCCGCCACCTCCGCCGGGCTTGCCCCGACCTCCGCCACCCTTGCCATCGCCCCCTTGCCACCACCACTGCCGCCCTTGCCGCCGTCTTTGTCCTTGGCGCTGTCACCTCCACGGCCCTTTCCATCATCTGCCATGGCTGGTTCGGTGGCGCAAACCTGTCTGCCCTGGTGGCTTGCTTTGCTTTTTCAGCTGTGCCGTGGCTTGGCTGGTTGCCAACATGTTTGCAGGGTCCTGACTGTCACACAAGAGACACAAACGCATCTGAACATGATCATGTCTCCAGCAATGGTTGCCAAGGCTGTGGCGCGCGATCTTGGAGGTTGTCCTGGCCATCATGGACCTGCGCAAGGCAGCTGAAACAAACCCTAAAGGATGGCGCAGTACTGAATGAGGTGCAAACCCTGCAGTAACCTCTGAAACCCTGAATTGCCGAACGAGGACCACTGAAAGAAGTGGCGCAGCGCTGAATGAGGTGCAAGCCCTACAGTAACCCCTGAAACCTTGAATTGCCGAATGAGGACCACTGAAAGAAGTGGCACAGCATTGAATGAGGTGCAAGCCCTACGAACACTAACCCCTGAAACCCTGAATTGCCGAATGAGGCCGTGACCACTGAAAGAAGTGGCGCAGCACCGAATGAGGCGCAAGCCCTACGAACAGTACCCCCTGAAACCCTGAATTGCCGAATGAGGCCATGACCACTGAAAGAAGTGGTGTAGTGCTTACAAGCCCTTTCCCCGTTTTGCTCTTCATGGGAATTCCAGCCTGCGAGCACAGCGCCAGGCGCCAACGCTCGATGCCGAGCCAAACGTGCCCCCAAACCTTGCAACACATCATGCCACGTGCTCGACTGAATTCATTCAATGTATTTGCCTGCGTTAAGCCAGGCCATGTTGACAAAACTAAAGGGCACCCCCAAACACTCAACGCAAAACAAAATAAAGTCATGCATTTTCAACTAACGAGCCTAATCATAACAAACCGCGCGAAACACTGAACTGCACTCAGCTAGGCAGTCCACATGAACACCTAGCTTGAAGCACATCCGCACCCACGAAACACAACATGTACAAGTGTTTTCTAATGCACACCACACACAGTCGCCTGTTTTTTTCAAAACGCACACCAAGCTACGCTCGTACGCGTGTGTTATACGCGTGTTTTAGCATGTTTTCAAAACGCTGGGTTTCCCCTGGCAGTCCGCCTAATGTAGGCGGACTGCCAGGAAAGCCCAACTGGCCCGCCCACACACACACACATTAACAGAGACACACATAAGCGCTGACGCAGACCGCAGCAACATCGCCCTCGGCTTCACAGGCAAAACGCATTT